GACCCCACATTTGTCCCAGGTCCAAGGGCTGAGGAGAGAGGACTTTGTACTTCATCTGGGGCTGAGTTCCACTATGGCAGGCCAGGCACTAAGCTCAAAGGAAAAATCCGAGTTGAATTTACCACCCTATTTCCCAGTGGCTGGTGTCTTGCTTCACCGTCTGCCAGAGGGTGGGGTGGAGCCCCTTGGCCACTTGGCTAAGGGGGCTCCAAAGGCTCAGGCCAGAGGTACTGGCTGGGGGCAGGGGCGGGAGGCCCTGATGGTGCTGAACTTCACGGTGGCATACCCAGACCTGGGATTCAGATCTAAGGTGTGTTTTTTTGTTTGTTTTTGTTTTTGTTTTGTTTATTTGAAGGGCAGAGTTACAGAGAGGCCAATGCAGAGAGAGAGAGAGAGAGAGAGAGAGAGCTTCCATCTGCTGATTCACTCTCCAAATGGCCACAACAGCTGGAGCTGAGCTGATCCAAAGCCAGGAGTCAGGAGCTTTTTCCCAGTCTCCCTCGAAGGTGCAAGGGCCCAATGATTTGGGCCGTCTTCCACTGCTTTCCCAGCCCATAGCAGAGAGCTGGATCGGAAGTGGAGCAGCTGGGACTCAAACTGGTGCCCATATGGGATGCTGGCTAAGATCTTAAATCCTTCTCGGTTTCTCAGATCCGTGGCATGGAGCTGAACTGTTAGGAGCTGGGTGCTATGGCAACCATTTGCTTCCTGCCATTTCAAACTGTCTTTTCTTAGTATGACACTTGGCACAGTGGTCTCTCACCTGGCTTCCTCAGCTCTTGTGAAGGTGGCTTGTGCGTGGATACCTGCTCAACTGATGTCTCTGGGAAGACGATCACTGGAGTATCTCACTCATCCACCATCTTGCCCCCCACTCAGTCACATTTTAATTGAGTTACAAAAAAACCGGTAGAGTGGGGTTTTAAATATATTTTTTTGAGAGGCAAAGAGACAGAGAGCAGGAGGGAGGAAGAAGGAAGGGAGGAAGAGACAGCACGCCTGTCTACTAATTCGCTCCCCAGATGCCCACAACAGGTTCCACCAAGGCCTGAGTTCTGCAGTGAGGAGCTAGAGATTCAATCCAGGTCTCCCATGCCAGTGGAAGGGACTCAACTATTTGAGCCATCAGCATTGCAGGATCTGCATTAGCAGGAGCCACAGCTAAGGGGTGGGACGCAGGGCTCCTATTGGCATCTTAGCCACTAATAACCCCTAGAGTGGGGTTGATATCTATAGAAACATAACCTTTCCATTCAGAAAGACATTTCAGGCTTTTGTAAGGCAAGTTGTTTTTTTTTTAGATTTTTTTTAAATTTTTGATATTTACTTATTTATGTATTTGAAAGGCAGAGTTACAGAGAGACAAGGAGAGACAGAGAGATCTTCCATCCACTGGTTCACCCCCCAAATGACCACAACAGCTGGGGCTGAGCCAGGCAGGAGCCAGGAGCTTCTTCTGGGTCTCCCACATGGGTGGCAGGGGCTCAGGCACTTGGGCCATCTTCTACTGCCTTCCCAGGCCATTAGCAGGGCCATTCTTATATTTCAGAATCTACCCACGGGTGCTCTGAGACCCAGAAGGTGCTGTTTCCTGGTTCTCCTGCTACGTGGGTCGGTGGTGCTTCTCAGTCTCCTTTCTTGGGTCCTCCTCTCCCTCTTTTTTTCAGCACTTACATGACTGATGCACTTCGGTATTTGTTTTCTCTCTACTTGCATTAGAGCCAAGCTCCCTGAGAACAGGGGCTTTGCCTCTTCACCTGGGTCCCTGGAGCCTAGAGCCACGCAGGCTGGCACACAGCAAGTACTCAGCTAACAGCTGCTGAGTGGAGGAATGAACAGAAGCTGGGATTGGTGAAAGCCAGGAGAACACACAGAAATAAACAGACTCATGCGCAGCAAACATTCAGCCACCACCTGGTGGGAGTGTGAATCCAGCTTTGTTCTAGGTCCTGGGTATACATAAGGGCCATTCACACATGACCTTTGCCCTCTTGGAGCCTGGTTCCAGTTTTAGCCATGTACAGAGGTGTCCACTGCGGAAGTCCAAACCCAAGAGATTGAGGGATCCACTGAAGACCAGCCTTCCGTTTTCTCTGACGTACACCTGTCTACCCAGAGTGATGGACAACTGCAGTAACCACCTCTTCAGGGAGAGCGGGCGCCCCTCTCCCCCACTTCCCCATGACCTTGCAGCTTCCAGTTGATCGCTGTGTCATACCAGCAGTTCATCTCTGGGGCAAGAGATAACAACCACAGTAGGCAGACTGACAAGGGAGTGATGTGTAAGCCATGTTCTTAGTGAGAACTGCCCTAAGCTGAGATTCGGACTTGGCAGCCTGGTAAGACTACCCCCTGTGAAAATCAGCTGAAACGCACGTGAGAGCCAAGGTCGGGGAGGAGCTTCTACCTGCAGCTCCAGCATCCTATGGGGTCTGGTTGGAGCAGCAGGCGCTCCACTTCTGACCCAGCGCCCTGCTCTGTGTCTGAGAAAGCAAAGCATGCGATGGCCCAAGGACTCGGGCCCCCGCACCCGCGTAGGAGACTCAGAGGAAGCTCCTGGCTTCTGGCTTCAGCCTGGTCCAGCCCTGGTGTTGCTGCTGTAGGAGTTGGAGTCTTCTGTCCTCTGGCTGCTTGCTTGCCTGCTATGCTCCCCTGGAATTTATGACCTGGGATTTATGGCCCAATGATGCTTCCCGCCAGTGCCTCCCCGTGCCATCTCCTTTGCGTGGCCTTCCCGCCACATAATATATATAGTCTCTTTTTTTTTTTTTTTTTTTTGACAGGCAGAGTGGACAGCGAGAGAGAGAGAGTCAGAGAGAAAGGTCTTCCTTTGCTGTTGGTTCACCCTCCAATGGCCGCCGCAGCTGGGGCGCTTTGGCTGGGGCACCGCGCTGATCCGATGGCAGGAGCCAGGTACTTATCCTGGTCTCCCATGGGGTGCAGGGCCCAAGTACTTGGGCCATCCTCCACTGCACTCCCTGGCCATAGCAGAGAGCTGGCCTGGAAGAGGGGCAACCGGGACAGAATCCGGCGCCCCGACCGGGACTAGAACCCAGTGTGCCGGCTCCGAAAGGCGGAGGATTAACCTAGTGAGCGCCGGCCATATATAGTCTTTACGTTTAAATGAACCAATGAACATGTTAGGTCCCAATACCTTGCCGCACAGAGAATAAGAAGGTAACCTATGTAGGAGATGACCTGCACCCTTGAAAGTGTGAGACTATAAAAACCTCTCTTATGCAAACGAGAGGGCCTTTTGCCTGTGCACTGCTAAATGGCTATGTGCGGGTAGGAGGTCCCAGCCGGCTGGTAACAAATAAACCTGCTTTTGCATCCGCGAGTGTGCCTTGCGCATTGATTGGGAAATTCGAACACAGCACTGCCATTTGGGGGAGTGAACCAGTAGATGGAAGATCTTAAAACAGAAACCCAGAGAGGAAGCAACAAGCTTGCCGAGGCCCTGGGCCCGGTCCTTGGGGCGCGCATCCTCCCCACCTGAAAGGCATCAGCCCCCGCCGCCCAGCACGAGGACCACCACCCCGGGATCTCTGTGCTCGCCTGCGTCCGCGGGCAAAGCAGGAGACCATAGAGCTGCGGCTTCCTAGAGAGCCGGGGGTGCGGGGTGGGGGGCGCGGCGAGGCGCCGCCGGAAGTCGCAGGATCTGCGGCTCGGCCATTCTTTGGGGCCTGGCGCGTCCGGTCCCGGGGTCATCTCCCAGTGGCCTGGCGCCGAGGCGGCGGTACCCAAGGGTGGAGCTGCGGCTGGAGCCCCCGGTGAGTGGGGTGGGCCCGGGGGCGGGTGGGCTGCGCCGAGGGCGGCCGGGGGCGCGGGCCTGAGCTCGCTCGCCCGGGGCCGCCCCTTGCCCGGCAGCCGGGGACAGCTGGCCGCCGCGGCCCGCGCTGGGGAGGCCCGGGGACAGCTCCCTGCGCGCGTGGGGGACTGGGCAGTGTCCGTGGCCTCGCCGCCGGGACTTGCCGGGAGCAGCGGCCCTCCGAGCGCGGGGGACCGCGATCTTTTAAGGGCCGGACTGGCTGTCGTCTTTTAATTTTGTAATACGATAGCCTTCGGAAAGCGAAGCTGCCACTCCCCCGTTGCGTCAGGGAACACGTCCGGACACTAAGTACTAAAACATCAACTCAGTGTGAGTGCGGTCCTTTGCAAAATAATAATGATGATGATGCCATTGCCAGCCCGTCGCTGTACAGTTACTAGCCTTCACCCTTTGCAGCTTGCCGGATTAAAGCTGTGTCGTGGACACAGGCGCTCTTTGGGTTTTTCTGCCCCTCCTTGGAGTTATTTTGGACCCTGGGAAGTGGAATCCCCGCACCCCGAATTCGCTTCCCAGCCTAAGGAGCTGGGAGGCCCGGAGTGGATCCCAGAGCTCGTGTAACTTCTGCCTCACAGACGTTTTCTGAGAAGCGAGCAGAAAGTGTGTTCAAGGGTTTATTGTTTTTAGCTGCCAAGTGTAGAGTTCTGACCATTGACTGCAGAAAAATACTTAAAATCCTCCCCCCCCCCCAAAAAAAAAAAAAAAGATGACTGACTGACTTACCTGAAAGGCAGGGTGAGAGGTTTTTCATCCACAGGTTCACTTTCCAAATGCAGCAACAGCCAGGGGTGGGCTGCGCCAAAGCTGGGAGCCTGGAACCTGGCTGGGGTCTCCCTTGTGGGTGGCAGGGCCCAGGTCTCCGACGGCCCTCTGCTGCTCACAGGTGCGCTGGTAGTGAGCCGAGCAGAAGCAGAGTAGCCATGATCCTAACTGAGGCACTTGGATTGGGATGTAGGTGTCCCGAGCGTTGGCTTAACCCATTCCACACAACACCTACCCCTTACAATCCTCTTTAAAAATTCCTCCCCGTCATCTCCAGATTCTCTCATTTGTCTTACCCTGCTACTACTTCATTTAGCACTTACTTTGCTTTAGAATGTTGCAAAACCTGACTGGCTTCCCAGAACCTAGTCCTCCTCCCTCCCCGCAGCATGCCTCCCTTAGAGAATCCTGACCCCCATGGAAGACTGTTGACGCTCACAGTGGGAAAGAAGCCATAAAATAAAAGATTGGGTGGCAGATATGGCTGAGAGCACAGTGTCTTCACATGAGTAAGAGTCCCCGGAGCACATGACACACAGAACACATTGCAGCTCCCGTTGGAAGTAAACTGTTCATTTTCCTGGAAATCAGCAAGACCCCATCCCTGAGCGGAAACTCAGGCAACACCCACGTGTGGGTTTTCTAGTTTTACAAATTTTCTACTTTGTAAACCGAAAAAAAAAAAAAAAAGATTGTTTCTAAAGAGTTGGTTTGAAGAAAGCAAACTCCGAAGTTCTGTATAATAAAACCTTATTCAAATTTATGCAAATATTTTGATGAACAAAATGAGCAATTTTCAGAGAACATTAAAAGTATGTACAGGTGCTGGCACTGTGGCATAGCGAGTAAAGCCGCCGCCTGCAGTGCCGACATCCCATATGGGTGCCAGATTGAGTCCTGGCTGCTCCACTTCCGATCCAGCTCTCTGCTATGGCCTGGGAAAGCAGTGGAGGATGGCCCTAGTCCTTGGGCCCCTGCACCCATGTGGGAGATCCACAAGAAGCTCCTGGCTCCTGGCTTCGGATCAGTGCCGCTCCGGCCATTGAGGCCAACTGGGGAGTGAACCAGCAGATGGAAGACCTCTCTCTCTCTCTGGCTCTCCTCTCTCTGTGTAACTCTGATTTTCAAATAAATAAATCTTTAAAAAAAAAAAAAAAGTATGTACAGCAAAGCTGCGCAGAACTCAGTTCATTCCTTCTTTGTTGTGACTTGATCTCATGGATTCAGGATTAAGACCGTGATTACTTGTTGACTCTTACCGAACTTTGGAAAGAGTGCTAATCACAGGAGGATAAGACTGAAGGTTGAGAGGCCAGCGCTGTGGCGTAGTGGGTGAAGCCGCCACCTGCAGTGCCGGCATCCCATATGGGCACCGGTTTGCGTCCTGGCTGCTCGGGAAGGTGGTTGCAGCCATCTGGAATTAAAACAGTGGATGGAAGACCCCCCTCTCTCTCTCTGCCTCTGCCTCTCTGTAACTGCCTTTCAAAATAAATAAATTTTTTTTTAAAAATGTCTAAAGGTTGAGTCTGGGTGCCAGGCAGTGTTCAAACACTTGAAATGCATTTGGACATCCAGTTCTCAAAAACAACTCCATGAGGTAGGAACTATTATTATCCCTATTTTACAGGTTAGGGAACCATGGCTCAGAAGTGAGGTAACTTGTTCAGACTGCAGGAGCAGCCAGGATGCCCACAGTCAGAGGGCAGGGAAAGAGAAGAGATGCTATGGATAAGGCATTTCATGCTTTTTTTTTTAAGGTTTACTTATTTATTTGAAAGTCAGAGTTACACAGAGAAGATGCAGAGAGAAAGGTCTTCCATCCACTGGTTCACTCCCCAGATGGCTGCAATGGCCGGAGCTGCACCATTCCAAAGCCAGGGGTCAGGAGCTTCCTGCACCATGTAGGTGCAGGGGCCCAAGAACTTGGGCCATCTGCTGCTGCTTTCCCAGGCCATAACAGAGAGCCGGATAGCAAGTAGAGCATCTGGGTATCGAGCCAGCACCCATATGGGATGCCAGCACTGCAGGCGGTGGCTTTACCCGCTATGCCACAGTGCCGGCCCATTTCATGCTCTTGATTGCAGCAATAGCTGTGTCCCCAGGGCCTCGTCCAGGGGGCCTCTGTCCGAAGAAGCTCTCCAGAGCCTAGACTGGAACCTTGCATTCTCGGGGTTCTCTTGCTTGCCGGGAGCTGACTGGGGTCTGGAAAGCTTGCTGGTTTCTCTGGGTTAACTTTAGCACTGATTTCTTGAGGTCTCATAGATGATGAGCTCCAGGCGCTGAGGAAGAAGTCAAGCAAGGATTCAGGGACCTGAAGGTTTCTTACAAGTCGACCATGACAAGAGAAAGCTGGACCCACAGCGTTCTGAGACAAGAGGGGCTTGTGAAGGGGAAGGATGACACTTGGAAGTGGGGAACCAGCTTCCAAGGGAGCAGCTCCTCCGTGTGGGAGACCTCCCACCTGCACTTCAGACAGTTGCGATACCATGAGACGTCTGGACCCCAGGAGGCGCTGAGCCGGCTCCGGGAGCTCTGTCGCCGGTGGCTGAGGCCAGAAGCCCGCACCAAGGCCCAGATCCTGGAGCTGCTGGTGCTGGAGCAGTTCCTGAGCATCCTGCCCGGGGAGCTCCGGACCTGGGTGCAGCTGCATCGCCCTGGGAGTGGTGAGGAGGCTGTGGCCCTGGTGGAGGAGCTGCAGAGGGACCTCGATGGACCAGCGCTGAAAGTGAGAAAGGCGGGGGGGAGGGGGAGGGGAGAAAAGAATGGAGGCTGGGCTGGAGGGTGACCCAGTGACTGGCATTAACCGTCAGCACACTGGCAGGCCAGTGCTAATTACAGCAAGTCCACAAGCGGTCCAGGCCGTGCAGTGTCTTTGCAGAGAAATGGATTTATGAGTGAGGTGTCAGCATGAGGCACAGACTGTGCTTTGTCCGCCTGGGTGATGCATGCCCAGGATGAGTTTGGTCCAAGACCCTGAAGAATACTAATGTGTCCCCCTTAGCAGCAACATGTGCACTGCATGCGTTGTTCCTGTGGGTCTGGGGTGGTGATGTAAGCCTGGGGTACAGAAGGCAGAGGCATAGAAGTGAAGCTCTCCAGATCTAGCAGCACCTCTCCTGGCGTGCTCCTCCTGGGGCCTCTGCGAGATGAGGGGTTGGAATGAGATGCCTGCATCTGAAAAGGCTTTGCTGACCTTGATCCTCAGGTTGGGACATCATACAGTCTCTTGTGTGTGAGATTCTTTCAGTAAATGCCTGGAACGTTCCTCTCTGAGTCTGAACCAGGACTCAGATGTGGGAGTGACATCAAGGACAGGCCTGTTTTAATCATAAAAACGAAGCCTTTTAGAGCTACATATTTCATTAGGAATTTCTAATCTATCCTCGATTGAGAGATTAGGACACTGTGGCAGAAGAAAGTTCAGTGGATTGCCAAGGTTAGACACCTGACCAGCAGCCAAACCACGAGTGACGTGTATTGGAGCAGGGTGCAGGTAGCGGGGTCAGGGAGAAGAGCGTTACTGAACCCAAGTCTGATCTAAAGCTAAAATCCATGCTCTCGAGTACTGCTTGTGACTTCCCATTCCCTCCTAATCCATACCCAGGTCTGGCTTCTGTTCCCACCGTTCTGTACGGTCTCCTGTGGGAGAGGTCACCAGTGCCCTGAGTGGGGCTAGAGGGCAGCTCCACTGTTCTCATGCAAAGCTTTACTGCTGTCTTGCTGCTCCATGTGTGAGGTGGGTCTCTCTGTTCTCACAGTTCTAGATTGTGGGCAGAAAGAGGTCCACGGTGGTTAGGTGAGTCCAGCTGCAGAAAGTACGAGAAGAACCAGCTTACTTTGTCCTGCTTGTCCCCAGGTTCCCGTCCTTGTCCAGGACCAGGATGCCCTCCAAGACGGGATGCATACTGCAGGAGCAGCCCTTCCCGCTGAACCCGCTGGCGGCCGCGTAGCCGCTGGCATTCGCCCACATCCTCTTCCCGGCTCAGTGCTGTTCGGCCTCCAGGATCCTCCACGTGGTACTTGCTCTGTGGCTCAGTCCTCTACTCGCAGGGAGTCGCCTTTCAGTGCCCTGCCCTTCCTGCTGCTGCTGCTCCTCCCCCTCCTCCCCCTTGCCCTGACCTGGGTCCCTCTGACTCCATGTGCGTGCTCCCTGCTGCTTGGTGTGTTATTCCAGCCCTGCACCTGGGAATCACTCAGAAAAGATTTGGAGGTCACTTTATAGCCATGATTTCCTGGGCCTGGGAGCTCTGGGTCTTTGTGGATTCCCAGTCTGTGGGAGTTGTTGGACTTGGGGGTAGGCAGGAAGAGCAGTCATCTCAGGCAGCTGTTTGCCCTTCCTCAGGTGCTCCTGCCCCTGAAGCTTCTGCCCTTTCCCAAGAAGAGAACCCAAGGAATCAGTTAATGGCACTTATGCTGCTAACAGCCCAGCCCCAGGTAAGGTTTGCATCCCCTCTCCTTCCTGTCTGCATTACTGAGTTGTGGCTGAACTCCCCTTGACGGCCCGGTGCTTGGGTGGCCAGTGAGCTCCCACCTAATTCAAGGCGCACGCTCTTGGATGACTGCCCTTACCTGGGGTCTCGTGTATCTGATATCTGTGGCCTGCCTCATGGCTCACAGCTACCCCTTCCCCAGAGTGAGGGAGCTCCAGAGGGGAGCTGTTGAGCGGGGCAGGTCTCACACGCACCTGTGATTGCAGGAGCTGGTGATGTTTGAGGAGGTGTCCGTGTGCTTCACTGCAGAGGAGTGGGCGTGTCTGAGCCCCATTCAGAGGGCCTTGTACTGGGATGTGATGCTGGAGAACTACGGAACTGTGACCTCCCTGGGTAAGGCCCCTCCAGAGCTGTCGGCATTTTGAGGTTATCTCGCTTTCCCTCGTGTTGGAGGTCCCTTCACACGTGTGCACATGTGTGTGTGTGTGTGTGTATAGTTTACAGCTGGCTGCCTTCACATGTGTCCCCAAGTGTGTATGTAGTGTTACAGCTTCCTCTCCTTCACACGTGTGCACAAGTATGTGTGTGTGTCTTTGTATAGTGTTACAGCAGTTCTCCTTCACACGTGTGCACAAATGAGTGTGTGCCTCTGTGTACAGTGTTACAGCTTCCTCTCCTTCACATGTGTGCACGAATGTGTGTGTACAGTATTACAGCTCCCTCTCCTTCACACGTGTCCACACGTGTGTGTGTGTCTGTGTGTGTAGTTTACAGCTGGCTCTCCTTCACACATGTGTACAAGTATGTGTGTATCTGTGTGTACAGTGTTACAGCAGCTCTCCTTCACATGTGTGCACAAATGAGTGTGTGTTTGTGTCTGCAGTGTTATAGCTCCCTCTCCATCACATGTGTGCACATGTGTGTGTATAGCATTACAGCAGCTCTTCACACGTGTGCACAAATGAGTGTGTGTCTGTGTGTACAGTGTTATAGCTCCCTCTCCACACGTGTGCACACGTGTGTGTGTACAGTGTTACAGCAGCTCTGCTTCACACATGTGCACAAATGAGTGTGTGTCTGTGTACAGTGTTACAGCTCCCTCTCCTTCACATGTGTCCACACGTGTGTGTGTCTGTAGTTTACAGCTCCCTCTCCTCCACATGTGTGCACACGCGTGTGGGGGGGTACAGTTTTACAGCTCCCTCTCCTTGCATTCTTCTTGCTGTCATATTACAAACTTGCTCTGTTAGTCTATATTGGCTGCATAGATTGTACCATTATTCAGATAGCCATTTCCTTATTTGGCCTAGTTGTCACAACAATCATCAACCCTGCGTCTGGCCTTTTGGTACTTCTCACTGTGGTTTTGAAGTACAGGTACTGAGCCCAAGTGTTGAGTTGTTGAGGCTCCTTCAACCACTCCCGTCTTCTCTGCTTATCTTACTGGTGCAGCGTGAGAACACTCCCTTTACTCCACGCTCATTTACTAATATAATTTTGTAAAGTTCCAATGTCTGTTTATTCTAAAGTAGATTTTTTAAGATTTATTTATTTGAGAGGCAGAGTTATAGACAGAGATAGAGATCTTCCATCTGTTGGCTCACCTCCAAATGGCTGCAATGGCAAGAGCTGGGCCGATCCGAATCCATGAGCCAGGAGCTTCTTCTGGGTCTCACACAAGGGTGTAGGGGCCCAAGGACTTGGGCCATCTTCCACTGCTTTCCCAGGCCACAGCAGAGAGCTGGATCAGAAGTGGAGCAGCCAGGACTCGAACTGGCACCCATATGGGATGCCAGTGCCGCAGGCAGAGGCTTAACCTACTACACCACAGCACCAGCCCCAGTAGATGTGTTTGATTAGTAATAAAATAAGTAAAATAAGGATGTTTAAAATTTCTTACTAACTGTTGTGGTTCCAGCAAACGTTGCTGTGAAAATGGTGCGATTCTGCCCCTTGGGGTGTGGGAAGTGAGGTGGAAAGAATAAACAAGTATAAGGCAGAGTGGAACAGCACAGGAGTGGCATAAACCTTGTGTGATGGGAATGCAGGGCGCAAAGCAACCAGTTCCACTCCTGGGGGTTAGGAAAGACCATAAAGGAGGTGGCTTCTGTGCTAGAACTTGGTTACAGGAGTAGGATTCTGTTTGGAGAAACGTGTTAAAAACTGAGGAATCAGGCTGTTGCGGGTATATGAGGAGCAAACCAGTGGATGAGAGCTCTTTTTCTTTCCTCTCAAATTAAAAAAAAAAAAAAAAAAAGAAAAGAAAAGAAAAACCTGAGAAGGCAGCCACATGAGCTAATTCTGACTGAGATACACATTTATATGATCAGTTTAAATGACTGCATAGTGTTCCGTTTTCACGCATCTTGCTCTACATTGACAGCTTCGTGATTCTGATGTTCCCATTCAGTAGCATTGTGTACTGTTGCATTTCTTCTCTGTACTACCTTTGTATGACTCAGGCGTCTTTCACAATCATATTCATCCAGAGGGGGGTTTTCTATGTTTTCTAATTGGCCACTGGGTACATACATGAAAATGGTGACTTTTTGATCATTAATTTTGTACCCAGCAGCCTCAGTATTTACTGGCTGGTAATTTATACAGTTAGGAGGATATATCCTTTAGTATTTCAGCAGTGGTAATAGTGGGTCAGACTTTCTGTTGAGTTTATGCATTGATATATACCCAAGCTGCTTCCTACCCATGAGTGCCAACTGAGCTCCCACAAAAAGAGAACAGAGGGCCCATTTCCCCTATATGTGTGTATAATTTGGTCAGTGCAATGTTCTAATTAAATCTTTGCTAGATAGACGAATACTAATTTTTTGTATGCTGTTTTTGATTATTAGTATGGTTGCAGTCTCTTCATATATTTGTTGGTTATTTTATTCCTGTTCATATTCTTCCTATATATGGGCACTTCTTTATATATTAGAACCACTAGCACTTGATCAGGTGTTACATATGATTTTCCCATTTGTCTGCCTTTCAGTGTTATTTATGAATTTTTAAAGCCTTAGGAAAATCTTTATGTAATCAAACTTAATATTTTCCTTTATATGGGCCGGCGCCGCGGCTCACTAGGCTATCTCGCTAGCGCGCTGCACACGGGTCTAGTCCGTCGGGCGCGATCTGTCCCGTGCCCTCTACAGCCAGCTCTCTGCTGTGGCCGGGAGTGCAGTGGAGGATGGCCCAGGTGCTTGGGCCCTGCACCCCATTGGAGACCAGGAAAAGCACCTGGCTCCTGGCTCCTGGCATCAGATCAGCGCGGTGCGCCGGCCGCAGCGCGCCGGCCGCGGCGGCCATTGGAGGGTGAACCAACGGCAAAAAAAGGAAGACCTTTCTCTCTGTCTCTCTCTCACTGTCCACTCTGCCTGTCAAAAAAATATATATATATTTTCCTTTATAATATTTATAGTCTTTTCTTCCTAGAAAATTATTTTTTTAAAAATCCATCCACATATTCCTGTTACATCTGTTGTTTTATTTTGATGTTTGAACTAATCCATCTTGATCTTAATCACCTTATCTTTTTTTTTTAAGATTTATTTTATTTATTTGAAAGAGTTACACAGAGAGGTAGAGAGAGAGAAAGGTCTTCCATCTATTGGTTCACTTCCCAGATGGCCACAACGGCCAGAGCTGTGCCAATCTGAAGCCGGGAGCCAGGAGCTTCTTCTAGGTCTTCCACATGGGTGCAGAGGCCCAAGGACTTAAGCCATCCTCCGCTGCTTTTCCAAGAGCATTAGCAAGGAGCTGGATAGGAAGTGGAGTAGCCAGGACTCGAACCAGTGCCCATATGGGATGCTGGCACTGCAGGCTAGGGCTTTAACCCACTGTGTCACAGCACCAGCCCTATCAGTTTATCTTGATACATAAAATGACAATGGAGTCTTCTTTTTTTGAACCAAGTGGCTTTCAGTATTCCCAATGCTGTTTGCTAAATAAGCCATTTTTTCTAAGAAGTTTAAAATATGTTTTATGGCTAATTTTATGAAAAACATTCACCATGGTTCCTGCTGTATGGCAGAATAAATTCTAGGGTACAGCACTGTGGTGTAATAGGTAGAGCTGCCACCTGCAGTGCCGGCATCCCCTGTGGGTGCCAGTTCGAGTCCCAGTTGCTCCACTTCTGGTCCAGCTCTCTGCTATAGCCTGGGAAGGCACAGGAAGATGACCCAGGTGCTTGGGCCCCTGTATCCATGTGGGAGACCCGGAAAAAGATCCCGGCTCTGTCTTCGGATTGGTCCAGCTCTGGCCGTTGCAGCCATCTGGAGGGTGAACCAGAGGATGAAAGCCCCCTTTCTTTCTGCCTCTGCCTTTGCCTCTCTATTACTCTACCTTTCAAATAAATAAATAAATCTTTAAAAGAAAAATAAATAAGTAAATCTTTAAAAGAAAAATAAATTCTGAATGGGCCCAGCAGTTAAACTTTAAAAAAATAACAAGAAAATGGAGTTACTTGTTTGTTCCAGCTCTATGAGGAAGGGAAAGTTTAAGCCAACTTGCACAAAATAAATATCCTCCAGCGTCAATGTTGTTGGAGTCTGACCAAGCAATTCTGGTTTAAAGAAGGTGCCTTAAGGAAATGGTTCAGAAAGAGGGGGGTAAGTAAAATGTGTGGAGATAGACCCAGGTAACTGTTTGCATTGGTTAAAACTTGGGCATAACCAGATTCCCCAAGATGAATTCCCCAAGTATGAAGCAGGCCTAACACTATCAAATAGGACAGTTTTTTGCACTCAGTTTCCATACATTGATAAGTTGGTAGAAAAATAGACTTATAGGTCGGCGCCGCGGCTCACTAGGCTAATCCTCCGCCTAGCGGCGCTGGCACACCGGGTTCTAGTCCCGGTTGGGGCGCCGGATTCTGTCCCGGTTGCCCCTCTTCCAGGCCAGCTCTCTGCTGTGGCCAGGGAGTGCAGTGGAGGATGGCCCAGGTGCTTGGGCCCTGCACCCCATGGGAGGCCAGGAAAAGCACCTGGCTCCTGGCTCCTGCCATCGGATCAGCGCGGTGCGCCGGCCTCAGCGCGCTGGCCGCGGCGGCCATTGGAGGGTGAACCAACGGCAAAGGAAGACCTTTCTCTCTGTCTCTCTCTCTCTCACTGTCCACTCTGCCTGTCAAAAAAAAAAAAAAAAGAAAAAGAAAAATAGACTTATAGATAGCTTGTACACACTGCTCCAATATATAAAAGATTCATGTTTGTTATATATGTATGTATATGTTTGTTATAATTTGTGTCTGTTTGAGAGATTGGACTAGAATTTCAAGGGAAATAGTCAGGAAATATTGAGTAATTCTCATATCAGACTTAGCCCCTCTTGAGAACTTGGATGTACAAATTAGAGAGAGAGACACGTACACCTGACAGTTACAAGACAGCGTGCCA